AGCGAGGTACGAGAAGGATGCAGTTTACGTACTCAGTTGGTGAAAGCTGTTCGTGTGACTTAAAATTCTAACGTTGGTAGTTGTGCAAACATGCCGTTAGCTGATTCACAATATTAACTTAAGAAGGTTGTCCATACCTACCCCTATATTTCTATACCTGAGGATGTTTGGCAATTTTCTACAATTGGGAACCACATATTGTATTGTACACCGTTGTCTGGTGAACAGACGGGGTAAACCCCATATTTACGAGGACCTGCCGTTCAGTCATGGAAATTTGATTGTCTGGGAAATAGATCGTACAGTAGTAAAATCCTGGCTCATGTATTCCAAGTTAATAGTGGAAAAATCTCACATTCTATTTTTAATGATTCGATTAGCCACGTAAATCTTCACGAAACAGTACAGCATTCAAATTTGAATAGCCAGGTCCAGAACCTCGTGAGCCCTGGGTTTGATAAAAGCCATTGTCCTAAACGCATTACATATTTCTTGTTGGTAGGACACGCACTTGGTTGCTGCCACTGTCTATCGCAAGTAGTCAGCTAATTTCAGCGCCTATTCTTCTTCAAAACGGTATCCGTGACGTAGCAGTATCGGTACAAGTTTACCGGTGCCGACAGTAGCATGCTTGAGGATTATACATGGATTTCTTTTTTCTTTCTTTTGTTTCAATTTTACTTCCTTTTATTGAATACACAAAGATACAATTTTTCAGGAAGGGGGAAGCGGTCAATCAAAGGGCTTCCATACAACACACAAATGGGGAAAGTCAGGCGATGGTGGTGGGATTCGAACACTCGTCCGCCGGGGTGATAATTGGTGACGTTACCACCGGATCGTTGAAAATTCAAGTTATTAACGTTTGAGGAACACCAACAAGCTATCTGCAATAAATGAATAGAACTTAGTCTGTTTAAGGAGCAAACAAGACACGCTGCGCAAAGATATCTCCCTTTCTGGTTCATTTTAAAGCTCTCATTGTTCATTCAAAGGTTGATTGAAGTTGGGGCTGAGAATCAGCTGTGCGTCGTGGTTACCAATCAATGTATAAACTTGCGCAATTTCACTCAGTTATGCGCTCATTATTACTGTTCTTTTGAGTCATTATTATACTGGTACAGTGAAATACAGTAAAGCGAAATTCAGTGATCACTGCCAAACCCATAATGTACGCAGAGTAAGTAAGAATGTACAATATGGACGAGGATTAGGCTTAATTGGAGGCAGGTAAAGAAAGTGAACCGCTATGGTCCACACATGCGGTGCACAGCCTAACTGTGCATTTATACCATTTCAGACATCTTGACCTGATAAGAACTGACAACAAGAACGCCACTGTTCTCGGTTAGTTTCCATATCCAAATTGTTGATTCCCGTGGATAGTGGTTTTGAGTGTTTTTTATGACACTTAAGTGCTCCCATCAACCATATTGCAGACTAATTTAGGTAAAATTTATCAGAGTGAAAACTTTCCTGATTGTCTTGCGTGGCAAACAGCTTTACTTTACCTAAAAATTGGACAATTAGGTCGATCAGGATATGCGGAATGCGGCACGGTCTAAATGACCATAGGAGTTGAAATCAACCTCTTACACTTTGTATGATCTAACCCCAACGGACAGGGATAGTTGACTCTATACAAGTTCAATTATTCACCTTCCTTATCCACTGATTATCAGCTGCCATCGCATTGTGCACTTCATCATTCGCGAACGAGCGAGTTACTCAGGCTCGTGGGGTCTGCATTCCGTGCGCATAGAGCACGTGTTTTGCATAAACTGGCATGTCTGAACATCGCAGAGATCGGGGTTGAGGTTTACCGTCACGCCGGGGTAGATGCGGTTCGGCTGTCCGACTAAAGCTCTGTTCCGATTGGGCAGACATCACGCGCTGTATTCCCAGTCAGTCAAGGTCGAGATGAATATGCACACCAATTGTGAACAGAGAGCAAACAGCGTGGGTCACCAACAGAAACGTGCAAGTATAACGCAACGTGACCAATCTGCCGATAAACAGGACAATCGAACTGCATTAAAGCCTTCATGCTAGTTAAAACATGACCGATGTGGGTGTGTTTTGGGACTGTAGTTCGTCGAAATGTCTTGAATTCTTCTGACATTATTCCTTCCTGTTCCCTTCAAATATTGACGAAATCCAGTGAGTGCTTCACCTTCAACGAACTCATATTTTTCTGGAGCAGAAATACGAAATGTTCGCTTTAATATTCACCCTTCGCGGTGTATAAGGCTTGGACACCAGTGACAGTTGGTGTTACCTGGTCCGTCCACACTCAAGCTGGAAACCAAATATCGGACCGTACCGATTACCCGATAGTACGAATTCAAATTTTGTGTGGAAATGAGGCTTATTAACAGTACTTTATTGAAAGCTTTTGATCATTATGCCAACGAATTCATTATGTATCATTTCTGTATTAGGAAGGGTTGGTTCAGAGCTAGCCAAGTGACCGTTAGGTTATGTTAGTTTTGCTGACGGAAAAAAGAAAATTATCCAGTGTGTGAATTGGAAGCCAGTGCCCCATGCATGTGGGTAAGAACAATGAGAATCAGAAGACCAGTTATACTGTTTTCAACTGATAACCCATCCGAAAATGCAATTATCTGAATCCATTCAGCTCATGATATCGTCATGGGTTGTGATTCGACGGGAATCTTTGTGGTTAACTCAAGTGAGGACGGAAAACGGAGGACGTGATTCGAAATGTTCAGGCAATTTTACTCCATGAACAGGCGCATGTTGTAAGTTATAATCTCTAAAACCGCATGCAGTTGAATGATGAAAATGCCAATCTCAGCTGCTACGGAACATTAATTGAAAATGTAGCCACATGTATTAAATTGTAACGACTGGTGCAAGCAACTATGCTTACATTTCAGTGCAACCGTATCCTGGAGCAGCTGAGGTACAGATGACTTCTAGCTGAAGACATCGTTTTGAAGTTGATAAATAGTTTGTGGTACAAAGACTAACAACCGAAAAATTTTCCACTGCTGCTCAAATAGTTGCTATTCTTCGGGTGCATGATACAACTTTGGTCGGTACTACGAACTCCACGACACCACCAGCTTTGACACACGAAGGTGGATGGTTAGTGGTTGTATAAACTGAACTGAAGAACTCCATGCGCAAGGGTTATCGGAGTTGGTTCCATTCATGCGGCTGAATCTTTAATAGAGTACGTGCTTCTAGAAGGGAAACAAAAATCTTCACCATATCACGACACGAGGTTACCTCAAAGTGATTGTCAGGTGTTGTTTGTGCACTACTCCAACCTGCGGATCGCGCTGCCTTGTAGATGAGCTAAAAGTTTGGGTAACCTTATGTAGGCGGTGTTGTGGTAGTTATTCAACTTAATTCATTGTTTCGACTAATGCAAAGTATAGTTTTTGAGCGATTGGCATGCTCTTATAATCATCGTTATCAGGAATTCCTGGTGCGAAACGCTCGGAGTTGAGGTGCAAAAAATTTCCCTCATGTTCTGGTACTGCGCAAGAAAAGGAACGGTTGTTCACTATTCGCATTTTCGGACTGTGGACGGATGACAAATATTTTCAGAACACCCAATTCGTTTCTGTTCAATAGATATTTCGACGGATTCAAAGTTCTCTTTTACAACTGCGCTCCATTTCGTGACATCAATTTGGTATCTTTAAAGAGATTATATTAGGGCCACTACGATGCTACCCAAATGGGTGTTCACATGTGCGACATCTCATTCCGGATTTATGAAGGAACGCATCCGTACGAATATCTTGTTGTTCTGCTCTGGTACTTGTTTCTTCATCCTTCTATAGTGTTAGTATCTTACAGGATTTTTGATCTCGAAAGCTTGGTAAATCCAAATCACGGATGATTCTGCTCATCTCACAATTCAAAAGGAGAATAGGACACAAGTCAAGAAATATCAACAATTCACATATTCACAAGTGATCTTTTTATTCCCCCTCAGCACTCGGGAAGGGAAATAAATGTGTAGGTTGCAGGGATGAGGTATTTTTGGTTCAGTTCAGCGGAACTACAATTGACACGTATCACATAGACGGTACATTTTGTCGTGCGTATACCAGATTAAATAGATGTAATTTTCCTATAAAGTTGGATAAATACGCCTGATCGAAGGCGTTCGAATGAGGTTCTTGGTAGTGAAATTTGGAAGATTATTCGGTGATTGTAGAATCCTTCGTCTTTCACTCGAACACTGAGCATCCTCTCCGGTTTTTGCAGTCCTATAAATAAGGGATTGCTTAGGAGATCCGTGGTCATATTTATCGTGTTTTAAACAACGGGTTGGGGGCGGAGTTTTATGTTGGGATCTATTGATTACCACACACGTAAGCGGGTTATCACATAGTCCTCCATCTATTCTGAGAGTGCGAGTTGTTACTCCCCCGGGTTGCAGTCCACTGAGGTTCTCAAAACTTACTACTGGTTCCTGGCCTAACGAAGCCGTATCCGAGGCCCGGGGAGTGTGGTCCTCAATGTGTTGTGCGTTGTGATTATTGGTCGGCACTGTAGACTTGAAACCCCTAAAACTGCATAATGGGATCATTCTTGGATTTCTGTACGTGCTACGTGGTTTGATATGCGAACTAATACGGACTCGATCCACGGCAGTCTGCGGGCGTTTATTCCTAGAATACACGAGAGAATGGTTAACTGTTGGTGAAGCATGACGCGAAACTTTGTGGTGTGATAAAGGCCGTGGCCGACACATGCGTAGGGAGACAGAAGCTCGATTGGTTTGTGAGGAACTATTTGTTGTGTGCACACTTGGTCTGCTAAGCACAGGTGACCGCGCGATTTCACAGTGATCTTGGGTGTCCTTGGACAAAGTTAAAAACTTGTGCTTCCTATGCGATATTCGCTCTTTGATTGATTCCATGGTATTTTGAGAACATGACTTTGGATTCTCCGGTTTTTTGTTTTCTATCTTCTTTGAATCTTTATAAACTTTGACGGGAGCAGTTGCCTGCGATATGGAGCTCTTTCCAGAATCCGATAGCTCTTCAGGACCCGAGATTCTTGTGTCAACACTTCTGTCAGATGAACGACGCCTTAAGGTTGGACAGCAGCTGGACCAAGTCGAATTCCTCGTACCATTTGCTTCCATCGTCTTAAAAGAACCGCTTGCATTCGAATTTGGTCTTGAACATCCCTTAGCATCCAATGTGCTCAGTTCCGATCGAGCACTGTGCATCGCATTCTGTTTCACACACGAACTTGCGCTCTCGTGTCCCGAACCGACATCTCCAAAGGACGCAAAACCGCTATCTGACGAAGATGAATTAATTCTGAGTGGTACGGACACGCCAGCTTCAGCTGACCTGGACCGTGAGCGCACTTGAGTGGGTTCATCAACCCGTAACGAGCGATCACCTGCAATTGATATTTGATCCAAACTCCCACCCATGAAAACATCAACAGATTGATGTAATCGCGTGTATCTGGACAATAGTTGCTCCAGCTGACGTTCAGTAGCATGTTTCAGGTACCTCCAAAACCGGGTAGCCTCCACACATTTCGAGGATCTCGGCGGTTTGATGTGAGTTTCGGACAACACTGACACAGTTTCATATTGATAGATTTGTATGAAACGATTGAGCAAGCGAGCCAAGGCACGTTTTCTCTCATTTAAAGATTTTGTTTGATCAGGAACAGAAATAAGAAAGAGCTTTCGAATATCACCAGCGCACCGGTTAAAGCCATCTTTGCAACAGATAGTGGCTATTGCTTGTAACGACAAGTGTTCGGATGCTTTTTTGAGAAACCGTACCATCAAATCCACTTGTTTGTGTTCTTTTTGCAGTGCCGTGCGACTATGAATCAACTGAGACATTGGTTGTTTTGATTCAAATAACATGCGCGATTGAATTCGAGATAAATAGGCTGCGAACGCATGTCTCGCCTGGGTGGCAGAAAGTTTCGCAGGGTCCAGGTCAAATGTGCCGCTTTTTGAATCCAATGATTCATGTTCTTGTGTGTTCCTATGAGCACCGTCCATGCGACTATGCCTATTCGGGGCTTTGTGTAATGGACCGGGCGAATCGAGTTTATTACTCGGAATCAGATCCTCCGGATTGAGCCCGGAACGAGCGGGATCGATATGAGTTGGCGGGTTTGATTCAGGGTATCGAGTACCCTGGTAAATCCCACATGGAGTAGTGTGTCTGGCTCGATCATGTTTGCAACCCGGTCGCAAACAGACTCCGGGTAGATGAACCGGTGGTTCCCCCAATTTTCGTAAGAAAAACGGCATGTGACCGAGAGTATGCGTGTAACAGACAATCACTCTTTGACATTGTTCTCGAGGAATCTCGGTCGATTCCAATTCACCCATTAACAGACTATTCAAACACCCTTGCATCTGACCGTGAGGCATGTTATGCAATGCAAGTCTAGGCCTAGTTACAGCATTTCGGCTAGGCACACGAGGGCCGTGGACAAGTGCCGGCTGAAAGTCCCCCGAACCACGATGATTAGCCAGATGATGCAGGTAGGTCGTTAGATCAATACTAATAGTAGAGCTGTTTGGGTGCAAAAATTTAAGCTGTCCGGCGCATGGGATTCGTGTTCGAGGCGAGCTAGTCGTGTTACTTGACTGTGACCAGGAGTCGGAATCCGCATCTGAATCGCCGTCACTACTATCAGATGCCTCGTGTGAGTAAACAGTCGTGACCAAACCATATAATGTGGTTACAGCCATGGAGGCTGTGAACGCAGATGCTAGAAGTGAGTTGGGCGGGAATCGACGTTCCCCATGTCCAGTGTCAGTCAGGGAAGTCCGGCTACCATCCATAGCATAGCCATAAGACCGTCGGTCGTGGCTCATGTACCATGGTGTCGAATCGTTTGGCCATATACTTGCGTACTGCTCCCACACTTCCGGATTGGGAATGAGTCGAATCCAACCACCAGCACGTGCTGATTCCTCCTGGAGTCGTCGCATCAAGCGTGTCTCGTCGACCGAAACGCCTTTGGGTAAGAGGTGTGATATAGCCACTCCGGCCAATCCGATAGCCACCCCATCCGATGTGCTACAGCACGAATTTGATCGGGCTACAGAATGTCCAAAGGAATCATGTTTTGAGTCTAGTGGGAAGGAGAGAATGGAATAAGACGGAAGAAAATGATTATTGATACAATAAGTCAGAAATTTTGTAAACCAACCGGATACACTTTTCGAGCCCGCAAAATAAATGTATTCTATTCAGTTGTTGACCAAAACGATTTTCATCATGAGCTATTGTACTCAGTGAACAATATCATAGGCATTGAAAGTCTATCTTTCAATCATGGTGGTGATACAATAACCAAAGGGTGCTGTACTTTAAATTAAGATTCTGGAAATGCTATTTACAAAAAAGGAATGGAATCTTTAAGGATTATCAATAATATCATGAAAATAATGAGTAAATACGAGCAGGCGTAACTTGAGAAGATCCCAGGAGATAATCTGCAAAATCGATGAATATATCAGAGTTGCGAATCTGAAGTTTAAAAAAATTATAATCCGGTGCAAGTAGCGATGATAACCGTGGTGATCGTGTAACGAGTATGCACCCACCACGATACAGCTTACAAGTAACCAATCGTTAAACGGATTTACCGACCAACCCTGTGGTCTCAAGCGGCACCAACTGGTTGAACGCACGAAGGCACACAAATGAACCATATCGTTGTGGATTGGACATTGAAGAATCGTCCCATGATTGTTTGATGCTTGTAATAGTTATTTGTATGATTTTCCTAATTGAAGTAATTGTATCCACAGCTCGTCTTGGTTCTACCTAACTTTGCCCTATTTAGTGGGTTTTCAGTCCGAGTCCGAGTTCGCGCTATTCGATTCCGATTACCATCATGGCACAAATAAAACCAATCCAGTCCATCTTCTAGGTGAATCGGTGTCTCCGATATCCACCCACCCAACGATCAGCCCCCACCCCGCCGGAAAAAGAATCATATTCCAACAAGCCCAAATTGAATAATCTGTTTTATAACTGCTGATTTCCAGTTACAAATTAGTTATTGTGAGCATATGCAATTTTTACCCACTTATTGTATCTGTAACAGCTAAAAGCAGATATAAATTTTGGTCCTTAAGAATTTGACTAGTTTTGACTTTGATAGATGCTATATATATATATATTTATATATATATAAGGATCAATTTAAATATATTTCATCTAGATTACCAATTTGGTACATAATAGGAAATATGTCTTCAAGGAAATGAGTCTCAGGGTATTGTTAAAATGCCGGTATTTATGCCGAGGTCGATTTGATAGACAAATATTCCTTGTGTATTTGATGTCCTTCTTTCTTAAACAGTAGAGCTTTAAATTCTCTGGGTGATGAGATAACACTTTAAACTATTGAGACCAGACATTATGTTCGTAGCCAATGAAGGTTTAACTGTCAATCGGGAAGGAAAATTGTCTCAAGATTTCTATAACTGAGTGTGAATTCTGTAGTTCTTCGGTTGAGAAAAACAAACACAACTGAATCCGTTTAAATAAAGCAAAATAAATCCTTCAACATTCTCTTTCTCTTTATTGATCTTTATTTATCCCACACCACTACTCACAAATAACTGTGAGTTAAATACGATATCTCTTTCTCCTGGAATACAACGAACATCGATACATTTTTGCTTGCAGAGTATTTGGTAATAAAGTAAATGATTCCGGTATATGATCTAGATAACGTGGGTATGTTTACAACTTGAAAAGTTGCTTGAATGCGAAAATATGCGGTTAGTCGATGTAGAAAAAGAGAACCAGCCAAAACTTAAAAACTTCTCAATGCGTCGTTACTTGAATGGTGTGATTTTCCCGTAGGATTCCTCAAGTTGTCCTAGAAATTTCGTATGTTGAAAATGGTTATTTACAGTGACTGTATGATTCAAATAACAGCTAATTTCAGCCGGTTACAGATTCAATAAACACTTCATACCAGTAAGTTTGTCGTAAAATTGTCAACTAAACAAAACTTAGCACATACTTACTCGCTGCCGAATTACCGCGTTCGTTTATTTGTTCCTCAGCTGAGACGAAATAGGTGGGCTGTTTTGGTGGCACTGCCGCATGGCCATCGGCTTTCATGTGCAAACTGTTCATCCCGCCCTGGGTTTTTCGGGTCGGATCGTGACAAACAATGCCAACCAAATTGAATAAATCGGTAATCATATGAGATTTGACTTTGAAATCCAACGGAGAGTCACAAGCCAAAGATGGGGATAAGTTAACCTATGTTTTTGGATTATGAAAAAACACGATATTTATTCAGAAACTTAAATTTATTGCAGTTGTGTACCGGATTTTCCCGGTGCTGAAAGTTGGGGGTCTTCAGCGGCGATGACATCAATACAATATAAATAAGGACTTCACGTGCATGCCACCAAAAGGAACTAGTTTACTTTAATATCCTGTCCAATTCAGGCTTTAATCAAGTTCTGCTTTAAATTTCATATCGCCATTCACGTGATGGAGGTAAGTGAAAACACAATAAAAATAACAATAATTAGTGATATATATTATGTTGCTCAAAACAATTTCCTACAGCTCGGCACATTAGTTAGAGAGAGCTTGTACTGCTCAAAGGACAAGTTGACTAAAACATACTGATTTAGTTGTTTCATTGTCTTGAATTGGACGCAAAACTCTCATTCCACCATCCTTGTACCGTTTACAACCAAAGGATAATTTCAGCGATTTCCACTGGTAAGCTATATACGTAAGTAGGCAATTTGTTTGACATGAACGTGTATCAGGGTAACTCAAGTGAGTTATCGGTAAGAGAATTACTTTGTACAACGTGTTATGAGCATCCACCTTCGCGCATTGACTGTTTTTGAATTAATTTCAAATAAACCGCAAACCATTTTATGACTTTAGTTTAAACCTTCTTGGTTGTCCTTTATTGTGCTGGCCAAATATTCTGAAATCCGTCACTTACATTGACATGAACCGGTCTAAATCTATCTTTTTTGGCTGTTAACCGTGGGTGTAATTTTTGTTAGGTATCGCAACCAGCATGTTTCTTTCCTTCTCGTCATTCGCGTCGTATCTCGTCCCTGATTCGCTCTCCGTCAACGAACCTCCGATAGATCGATGACCTACATGAGCACATGGATAGGCGTGACAGAGCCGTGACCTTGAAAGAACTCGACCGCCTGTCTGTAATTCACGCAACGTAGATCGTTCTAGCATGTTTGCCTAAGTGACCTTGGATCAGTTTAAGGTTGTTTTGGGCAGCACAACATGAACTAGTAATAAGAAGGTCAAAGGTCATCACCGGGTTGTTTAAGGTCATAATTAGGGGTCGACAACATAGGGAAACTATGATCAAGAGTGTAGAAAGATTGACAAATAAACTGAAATAAGTAGCAACTGTGATGACCGACAAAGAGCACTGGACAGTTGTTTCATCACGCTTGGGACTCGTCAGCACAAAAGCTAGGTACTGTTGACGAGTCTCAAACAGGACGAAGCAGCTATGCACTGCTGTTCGTCGGTCATCACAAGCATTTCCATCGCGATCTCCTGAGAAATGAAACCCATACCCAAGATCACCAGTGCCTGCGAACAATCGAGTGGGTTAATCCGAAAACGGTACCCGAAATTCCTCAGTCATCAATTCGGAACAAATCCTGAGCGTTGGACATTGAAGTCATGTTTGATCTACCGGCAATTTAAAGTCCTGGTGACTTCATACATACAGGAAGAGCCAAGTGTATTGTTTCTTTGGAGCAATTTCAAGATGTGAAGAATCAGATGCACGTTAGAAATAAAAACGAAATCTTCTAGTTGCCACCGATTTAACATTATAGTGTTTCATTTTTATTAAAATTACCAGCAATAGCATCTAGGCACTTGGCTTTGAATTGACTATGCATTAAATAACAAGTTTAGTGCTAGAATTTCCAATATCCATTAGAAAATATTTACAATATTAGCGATAGGTGTATCTCAATGAAATCAAAGGCGCACGTGAATTTCCGTATCCGAAAAGAACTAAAGTAAAAATTTACGGAGAACGAGAATTATTCTTTGTTACCAGGCTTACAGCAGCGGAATAAAGTGAAGCCCAGTTACCATAAACATAAATTCTTTAAGACTCTAACACCGCTTCAGTCAGGAAAATCGAAAGACCTGTCAGGGCGTCAGTGCAGATAAAACCCGTAATTTCTCCTGTTGTTCAGCTAGCCTAAATGAACAACACAGCAAAATCAGTGACACCCATCAATCACTACCATTCTTCATTTACGAAATGTAAAGTAGGATCAGTCACTGATGCACGGGATGTTTATATAAACGATAGTGTATTTAACGAATTTCGTAATATAATGATCAAATGAAATGTGGACTAAAAAACCGGGAAGCGCTGGACGTCTGCTTCGACCTGACTGGGTCGAATCCTTCGATAAAACTGAGGATCTAACCAGGGACCTCACAGGCAGAATGCAAACACACTACCCACTCCACCACCGGAGAACTGATCAGATCGTCTTTCCTTATTGTTCGGTCAGAAATCCTGTCATGCAAACTGGCATAATAACACAAATCTGATGTTCACGGGATTGCATCAACAAGAATTATGAACCAACAGTATAGATTATTTGATAACAAGCTTAAAGTTTACCACTGACATCCAGTCCCGCCGAAGTATTTGCGTTAAGAAAGTTAGAAATAATCAGCCAACCTAACCAGATCTTTTGTGGGTCAAACAAGTGTGCTTTGAGCATAGTTTACACACTGGTCAGCCTATTCAGAATCTGCGAATATTTCCTTAGTGGCAATACACAGCAGATTATCTTATATTGGTTCGGTTCCACAATAAGTCCCCAAAGATCATGAAACAAGCATATTGATAACAATGCGATCAGTTCGTGTTGGATTCCTAGACACAATAATGCAAACTGGTAATTTGTGATTATTATAATCCACATAAGTATCAGTTCGGAGTGTGTGAAACAAATCACGGTAAAAAACTTTATAAAATAGAAAGCAGTCCATGATTTGCTCATTGGTTGTCCAAGCCTGAGCAGCCGAATTTTCTTAGGGTACTCACGACAGGAAACTGTGACTAACCAAAACCCGACTCACAAGGCAGTACAGTGATGTGTGAAACCAGGAGTCCATTGGGGTCCGGTGTCCAATTTATGCGTTCACACCCTTTGGACGAGGTCGAAAGTCCAAGGTGCTGACTACATTTCGACAACTAATCAAGCCAGTGACCACTTCCAGAGCAAGAACGGTTGGTTGGTTTTGAAAGTGAAATAGACACCCGTAGTTAACCAACAAGATTGTAGAACCAGATGTTGGCAGTTAGTAGGGTTTTCCCAAAACGAGGAACTTGAGAGACTCAGTTGTACAGAAGCATTTCACGAGATTTCAGGAAAAAATTACCATTAAAAATCCAAGGCGTCCCTCTCCCCAACCATAATTAGGCCTTCGGAGGTAATTCTGTTGGCGATTCTAACTGGAGCCTTGTCGTAACTGATCAAAAATGAAGCGGCAGGGTGTATGAAGACCGCAATACATTGGAGATCGGTAAAGCACCAGAAATCATTAACGCTGTCCAAGGTGCCCACCACGTTCTATAATTCGGTCAAATGAGAGGGACTTTAAGGTCCAGGTGATCTTGGATTTGCAAATTTTCCTGTTTTTTAGTCGCCATTGGCCACCTTTCTGAAAAAATCTTAAAAATCCAGATCCAGCACATTTAAAGTTTTGACCTGGCCACGTAACTTGGTAGTCTAGTATGCGTCACTTGAAAAGTTCCTACTGGATTGAGAAGAAACACAGGGGGGCAAACTTTACACTTGATTGAAAAAAATTTTTACTTCAATGTTCAAAAATATAGGTACATAGAAGAAACTAATTTTTCCAAGGTTTAACATACGAGAAAAAATGTGTCTGTCAAATCCGATCAACTGTTTGTTTGCATACTTACACCAGGAATATTCATCTTTCGTATAAGGGTTTTCTCACTGTTTGTTTACATACATCAAAAGGTTTATCAAAGTGACTCGTACTAGGCTGCCCACTCAAATAACTGAGTCGAAACTTCAGATGTGTTGTTGTAGCCGCATGCTGTAGAGGTGCATTGAAAAGGCGCGTTCATTCCCTCCAGGCAGTGGACGCTTAGTTACAGGGAATAGCCACTAAACGAAAGCAAGCAACCTGTAATTTGGATACTTATTCTCTCTCCCATCAGGCTGATAAACATTAGACGGCATACGGATTTATTGAAGTGATTAGATGTTTGGAATCAGGTAATGTGCACACAAAAATGATAGGGCAGTCCGGTACACTAAGAAGTAAATAAGCATTGTTAGCGCACGGATAAATTAAAATTCATTCGTGGGATTTACATTTTCAATTATAAGTTGAACTACTTATTAGTAGCACTTAACTTTGAAAAACTTCCCTATTTGACTTGACGTTCACTAGTGGCGTCGGTTCGTTCTCAACGTTCGTGTGATTCTGTCCATTGCAGTTTATTTCGTTCAGTTCCATCAAAATAAGGGAATGTAACAAAGGTAAATGCTTGATTTTGACTGAAAATTCTTCAGACTTCAGCTTCACACACACTCCTCTCATATTACGTAATTATACACTTGGAAAGCAGCAGGATTGCGTTTGGCCCACATTGAAGCTAATCGCTGATGCATGTTAAACCTGGACACCTCAAATGGAACGCATGTGCTTCACCACCGAGTGAAGTATCTCATATGGATACTGAACAATACTACTGATTAGTCTTCAGTACACAACAATCGGTTTGTAAGTGAGGCAAAAAATAGCAGGTGAATATGAGCGACTAACGAGCTTTACTGAGACTGAAACACCAAAATGGCGCCTCTTGAATTTATGCTTACTTAGATGAACTGAGGGTTGTACGTGAAAATGAAATCTGAAATGCAATCAGTCCAATCAAATCTATTGCACACCATCACACAGAAGCATGTGCAAGTTAAAAATACAAAAAGGAATTTCATACAAGCTAATTCATAAATGTTTTTCATGGTTCCATTTCAGGTTTAGTACGATATTGTACACGATAAAACCTCACCTCCAATAGCCAAGGTCGAAAATCTTCATCCACGATTATATCAAATCCATATAGTTCAAAACATTTGGATCGACAGGCTTGAAACATTGCGCACGCAGATGCGATTGGACTGACGACGCATAAAAACGACTTGATGATGATTTCTTCTATACGAACCATCAATCCGGTCACATCTGCTCCTTCAGATTTGAGAAATCTAAGATTCAGAAATGGGATAAGATCATGAATTTGGTACCGCATTCAGCATCCCTCTCGTCGAAGAACGAGCATGTTACGTTTGACCTACGGCATATTTAATAGAGTCATATTATAGCATCATATATATATATATATATTTCATAATAAGTGGTATGTGAATGACTGAACAACATTCCCTTGGAAGCACACGACCGGTTTCGCGGTTCTTGCCGCTCGTCAGGCATGCGTATCCGGTAATATATTTATTTCGCGCTTGAGATTAGATGCTCACTGGAAACCTGACGAGTAGAATTTGCATGAATTACACGCCAAGAAAAGCCTCAGTATGGTCGGGGGCGGGTATCCAGGGTTGCGGTCGGTCACCCTTCCCTTGCACCTCACGAAAAATCCCGTAAGACCGAGCTTCTCGAATAACCTCTGCTGAGGAAGCCCTACTCGCTGCCTTCTCTTGGCGGAGGTGTTTTCCCACCAAAGTGAGAGGACAAAAAGCCGACATCCGGGGCCATAACCGGGTTGGTGGAACACTGGTAGTTCACATAAGGGAGTTGGCCAAAAACCCTGATTCTAAACCAATCAAGAGGAGGCGTGCGAATCACCCACAACTTCTTGGTTGTGGCAGTGGTTACCTGCTTGAGTGGGCATCGAGGTGTATT